GATGTCTGTAGGCAGTAAGGAGACTAATGATATATGCCAGTTGCATATTTGTCTTGTTTATCAATAAAAGGCCAGACTATGAATTTGTTCCTTATGCAGAATGGGATGCAGAGCTTCACAGCCCCAGGGGGAAAAAAAAAAAAAAAAAGACTTAGAAAAAGGGACTTAGAAACCCATCATTTTTTCCTTGGCTCTAAAGAGAACAAATACACTTTACAAGGTGCAGCTGTCTTCTTCCAGTGTGCAGACTCAGATCTGCTCCTGAGTCCTTCTGTGCAGACGGGGAAGTGCAGTGGCCTCCGAGGGCTTACTGCTTTCTAGCAGAGAGCCACGGTAGAGTCAGGTCATGTAAGGGGAAATGTGGAACCCCCACCCCCTTTACTGCTCTCCTGTAGCAGCAATGAGATGGATAACAGTAACCACCTACTGAAAGGATAATAATCATGTTTGTTTGATGAACTGCTTAGTTTGCTCCTGAACTAACAGATAAGAAGGATCCCTAATGATTGTTATCCTGTTTCTGCCAGTACTACTGGACATCAGAGATTAAGACCCAGACATTTGTTTGTTTGTTATTGCACTATGTTATGAAAGCATGAAAATAATATTAACAGTTTTATAATTACTGGAATAGCTACATTGAATTTGCAGACTGACATCTGGAAAGTGATAGTGAACTGGAAGTGTTGGAGGAATATTTATTGTGCAAACATATTTTGAGAGTCAGTATTTATTACAAAATTTTTGACTTCAGCTGGGTTGGACTGGTCTTGCCTGATTTTGGAAAAAAAACAGGCTTTTGTAAGCGGATGGAAGATGAGGAGGTGTAGTTACATCTTTGATAAAAGTTATCACATAATCAAACTTAATCAAAAGTTTTCATTTGGACTCCTCATTGCTGTTGTTGTTGCTGGGAATTTGGAAAGCAAAAAACGCCAGTCTTATCAAGCCACGGATTCTAGTTTTAATGGAACCATTTGTTTTTCATTTGGAGACATTACACTTATCAAGCGCCTTGACTAGTGTGTTGTAAAAAGGGTTTTACATAGCAATGTTCTTTACCTCATGAACAAATTATGCTTCCTCTCCCCATGAAGGATATATGGCCCTGTTCCAAAGAATTAAGTATTTGAAAATTAAAACAATTTCCAAGTTGACACGAATTATTTGGTGAAAAAAAGTGTTCTTTAAGAAATATTTGGATAATAAAAGCAAACCCTTGTGAACGCAATAAACAAATTTTAGTTAGGAGTAATTGGATTTAGTTATTGGTAGTACTCAGTCATGTTGGAATTTTTTCTCCTGATGCTTGTGTGCTCTCCACTACTTAAGTATGATGTGAGATAATATAAAATGGTGTATTGACGGCACAAGGAAAATATTTGGATGGCTGTCTGGAGTTGCCATTATTGGCTTTAATTATGACTTGCTGTCCTTTGGGTACTAAATGAGCCAGAAAAGGCTTCATATGTGCCAAAGTATTCATTAGTATTCCCCTTTCTGTCATTGTACTTGAAGAAAAAGTTTATATCTGGCACCTGACTGCAATTCTTACTAGCATGGACCAAGATGCTTTGCAGATTTTGATAATCATCTGAAAGTACACCAGTATCTCTACTTTTTGGATACAGTAGAAGTCGTTCCTAGGTAACAGTAGCAGAACTCTTTGATGGCTTTCTGATGTATTCGGAGAACAAACGTCTTTTCCAGTCCTCCCCTGTGACATGGTTGCTTAAAGTAAATTTTGTGGTACCTTCTGGAGAAAGAAATGCGATTACTTGGTTCCGTCCTCCAGGTTAGGGGATCTGCACTAGGATTTATGGGAAAATGCTTGCATATCAGCCTCTTGCTACCATTCCATATAGAATAAATAATGGAGCCACAAAAGTCTTTCTGAGATAAAAATAGCCTTTGGAATCAATTTTGGTAATAAAAATTGTCTATAGCAAAGTCCTGGGGTGTCTCTAGGGTAGACACAGAGCAAAATAGTACTTTATGAAGAATATTCTGTGGACATTCCTGACACTTCACCATGGAGGCTCTGCTGAGAATGGTGACCACTCCTTTGGCATTTGTTCCTGGATAGACTGATGCACAAGGATGAATTTCTGCTCCAATACATATTCACCATTGCAAAACTTTATTATTGTTGTTGTTATTATTATTATTTTAATTCAGAATCTTGTTTGAACTGAGCTTATAGTCATGTTTCAAACAGCCTTGGAAATGGTGGCTTACAAGGCACAAGGTTGTTCTTAGAACCTGATCCTTTAACTAAGGTGTTGTGTAAACAGATGCTACTGATTTTGGAGGCATTTTATGCCATCTTCCACTTCTCATCTGTCACATTAGAGCACAGGCTGGCTGTGACCTAAGCACCCCAGTCTTCTTCAACTTCTAGGACTTTATGAGGAAACTTACTCTCATGTCTGTGAGCACTGGAAGTCACTGTGAGCACTGGGAGCTCATTTTCATCCCTGAAGGCCAAAGGGCTGCATCTTATTCCTGTGTTTTTTCCTGGTTTCACAGGCTTGTTCTCGCTGAAACCCCAGGGGGGTCAAAACACTAACACTCCTCAGAGATTTTAATCAAGTTCACATATGGATTTCAGCTACTGTTTGGAAGCTCATGCCCAGCATTTTGCATTATGGGATGTTCATAGTGAAAAGATGCATTAACCAAAGTTTTTCAGTAATGCCCCCTGCATGGAAGAAAGAACTCCCACAGAAGGAAGAAGTCTCACCCTGGACAGATCTCATCTGGGGCAGGTGCAGAAATAGATGAGGAAGGGAGAATGCTGTCTATTTTAACCCTTATGGAACAGCTCCCCAAGACTATCCTAACTCTATCTGGGATGTGGCCTTAGCCGTGCCACAGGAAGGAGTCCCTGCTTGCTCTGTCATTCTCCCCCAGTTGCTCTTTTTCCAAGGAATTTACTTTTCAGCTTCATTCCCCTGCCATTCAAAACACGTACTGTCTTCCAGACACGGGACTACACTACTTTCTGGTGTATCTGGTCCAGCGGTGCTGGTCTTTACACTTTAGAAGTCATGATGGTTTTCAAGATTTGCGGGGGTGGGGGAATATTTTCTTTAGTTCCTGTTTATTGCAACTGTGAGGTTTTGCTTCTCCCTGCAACCACGGCAGGTGGTGCTCTTGAACCTTCCAAGTGGGAATTGCACTTAGGGAGCTCCAGTAAGGTCAGAATTCCCATTTTTAACCCTCTGTGGTTAGGCCAAGGATATTTCAGCTTTGAGTGAAATGATCTTTATCAGGGAAGGGGAAAGGAGGGAAGAAAGGGTATTTTAAGTAGGCATTGTTTTTTGGCAGTAAATGAAGAAAAGTTTAACATAAACAAAGGTAGCTGGTTGATATATACATACTTAACCACTCTATAGTCCAGTATGTCCCAAGTTTAGATGATAAAGGTGCTAACTTTGTAACCCATAAATAAAATACTGTAGCTATTAAAGTGTAGGGCTCTATGGAAGTCATTCCAGCTGTGCTATGTACTTGGGTAGCTTCAGTGCTTTCACCTACACATTGTAATTTCCCACTGCAAGCTCCCCAAAACTGATAAATAGCAACTAGCCTAATTTGAAGAGCCTTAAATGATTTCAGAATAGCCTTTTGCTTGTGTCTCAGCTGGCAGCTATAGTCTACATTGAAGACTGGGTGATTGCCGTCACCCCTTGTCAACTAGAAGGTGGTATTTGGAGTCTGATACATTTCACTCCACACTTCTCTAGGTCTTTACGTTTTTACCCATCCTATTTTGACACCCTAGAAGATCTGGACCAGCAAGACCATCAGCAGCAGAGACACAAATTCTCCTTCTGCTGTTAACAAACAGTTGGTGATTAAAACTGGCAACATATATGCCTTTAAAAACAAAACAAAGCAAAACAATGAAAAATAAAACAAGAGAATATTTCAAATATTTCAACCCACCTCTCAAGATTCCAAGATTCTTAGTTTGAAAAAGTTTAGGAAAGTAGCTTAAAAATAAGCACTCTGAGCAGAATTTCAAAACTTTGGGGAGAAAAATCATTACAAGTATATGCCAGTTATCTAGTTGACTGAATTCCTACCCAAGCTTTTTTGCAGCAATTTTCCTGGCAGTGTACCATTGCTCGTTCTTTTGATTATTTCTTGGAAATAATGTTTTCTTTCGGCACTTAAATGAAAATAAAAAAATACACCCACTTAATTTCTTCTAGCAGTATTTAGTGCTTCTGTTCCCCTACCCTCTTCTATGTCCACTGTCTTCAGAGATATATGCCATAGGGGAAATGGTACGTTTGATCCAAGATGTTACCCAAATACACTTGTTTAGTTTTTCAGAGATTTGTTTTGTTGAAGGATGAAGAGTTGACACCGATAGATGGTGCTGTTGGTGCATTAATAAGGCTCAGTTTCACATTTGTTTTCTGGTCTGTGGCTGGAATTTGTTTTAAAAAAAAAAAAAAAAAAAGAACACAAAAAGAACAAAACAACAAAATCGCTAACGCTAAGCTTTTATCCAAGATGTTCTGCCCACACTGAACCGGTCACCATTTAACTTTAACCTGAACTGTGGCCCAGGAAATCCTTCAACATAAATAACCTTGGAAGCTGCTATGACCATTTTTGGAACACGCTCCCTCAATAAATCTGTTACTTTGTTGTGCAATGTTGAAGTGTGCAGTTGTTTCTCTGATTAATTAGGGCAAAAAATAAACTTGTGCGATCAATCCAAGCTGTGACATGTTTCAGCCCTGGCTGGGACGTGTGGGTAGAAGAGGCCTTAGAGCCTTCTCAACAGCTTTGCCCTGGGATTTTAACATGCGCGCTTTTGAGCTTGTTTGATTTGACTAGATAAGGCAGCTGCTAACAACGTCTGCTCCTGCCACATTCCAGGCTGTCACAGCATTGCCATGCCAGGTAAGTAAGGGTAGGACTGCCGAAGTAAAAGTTCGTTCATCTTGACCACCTGCCCCTACTAAAAACAACAGAAAAGCTTTACGTAATAGTGTTTACTTTATTTCACATATTACCCATGGAGAACAGCTGATACATTCTCTACATCTTTCACCAGTCTGGAATGCGAGATAAAAAAGGTATGGAAAAAGAGTTTAACAACGTCTGACATTCACGATATGAAAAATAGAGGGGATACAATGTTTTAAAATGCCCATATGCAATATATATATATATAAAACGTATAAAAATAAAATATATTTTCCAAAAAAGATACAAACAGGACATGACACAGGACAATCTTAAATACCGATACGTATCTCATGATCCACACACACCGCACCGCACATAATTAACAAAAACCACGTACAATTGCACTTTTCCTCTCTGTGACGTTCAAGTATATCGCAGTCCCCGCAGGGACTAGTGAGTGTCCGATTCCCTGCCGGGTGCAGATAGCGCAGAGGGTAGAGCAGGCGGGGGCCGGCCGCCGGGCTCCCCCAGCTCCCCTCCTCGGGGCTGCCGGAGCCGTTGGGGCGCAGCCTCCCGGCGGCGAAGGCCCAGTCCCAGTCCCGGTCTTGGCCCCGGCGGCGAGCGCGGCCGCCGTCCAGTCCCAGGCGGCAGCGGCGGGGCCTCGCAGCTCCCTCGGCGGCGCGTCCCGCCGCTCCTCGCCGCCCCCGGCCCCGGGAGGGCGCGCCGGGGTCCCGCCCGAGCGGGGGCTCTCCGCGAGTGCTCCGCGGGCCCCCGGAGTGTCCGTGCCTGAGTGCAGCCGAGGCGCTCACAGCCCCGGCGCGGGGGCGCGGGGCAGCGCCCGCAGAGTCCGGGGGGAGCGCAGGGAGCGCCGCCTGCGGCCGTAGCCCTGGGGGCTGATCTTGCTGACGGGGGCGGCGCCGTCCTTATCCTTGTCGGTCAGCTGGTAGATCTGGTGGGCCAGCTTCTGCACCGTGCACGTCCCGAAGCGGCACCCCGTGCGGATGGCTTGGAAGTGGGGGAAGCTGTTAATGCTCTGGCGGTAGCGCTTGACGCGGATGTGAGCATCCTCCCGGCTGCTGCGAGGCAGGAAGAGAGAGCAGGCGTGAGGGCGGCGCGGGGGGGCCCGAGGAGAGGGCAGGAGCCCCGCCGTGCAGCCCCCCCGGCCCTGCCCTCCGCCGAGCGGCGGAGAGGGGCGACCCGAGCTCGCTGCCCACGGCGGGAGAGGCCCCGCCGGTTTGCGACTGTCGCTTTATCTAGGGATGCGGAGCTCGAGTTACTATTTTATATTCGGCTTTCGCAGTAAAAGCGCGGCTATCTGCCGCCGGCTGAAGAGCGCGGGGAAAGGGAGGCGGCTCCCTGAAGGAGCTGTCTCCGGGGCTCGGGGATCTGCAGCGAGGAGCCGAAACACCCGGAAACGAGGGGACCCGGAACCTTGCTGCTGGCTCGGGCAAGCGTCGAGCCCGGCGGCTTCGAGCTGGAAGTTACCTGGGATGCGAGACGCGGGGATCCTCCTTCACGTCCTGGGGCCGCACGAGCGGCTGCACGGCCGCGGCTGCTCCCAGCGCTCGGAGCGCGCCCGAGGGCTTCACGTCCCGCTTGGCTCGGCTCAGTGCCCATTTCGTCCATCTGAAAGGAGCGCAAGGGAAGAGGAGAGCCTGTTAGTGCAAGCCTGCAGGGCGGGAGCCAAACCAAACAGATTCGAGGGGCGATAATCTTTGGCAGCGCTGAGCTTTTTCGGACTTTTTTGGGGATGCTTCCTGAAAGGGCACGCGGCCCTGTGCAATTCCCGCAGGGAGTCCGGTCCCTCTGGTCGCAGCCGGAGCCCGGCGCTGGGGCGCGGAGGCTCCAAAGGGCGGCTGGGCGCGCTCCCATACTCACTTTCTTTTGAACTCTGTCGCTACGTCCACCCTTGCAGCATCCACCCCGAAGAAGGTCGCAGAGCCGAGATAGAGCAGGGCTACGTGAACCAGTTTCATTCTGGCTGAACTCCTGGTGGATAGAGAAGAGAATTTATAAGTATGCTTGCTCAGATAAGCCAAATAAGGTCTGTCCGTCTCTTTTTCTTTCGGTGCCTCGGAGAACCTCTTCCCTCGGGAGAGCCCCCAGGCTACCGGGAACTTTGTGTGCGACATGAACCAAAAGCTAGTATTTGCTCAGCAACTTATCGCAGAGTAAATAACAGAGCCTCTAAAGTTTACGTTTGTCGAGAGTTTTACTTGTAGAGGCGGATGAAAACCAGCAGGATTGCCAGAATACCCCCAGCGGCTTGCATTAGGATTCAGCAAACCCACGAGCTTAGAGGGAGCTGGCTTTCAGATGCATCGCTTCCCAGCTCCAGTAAGTGTTTTGCTGCCTGGAAGTTTATCCCCGATAGCTCATCTTCTCACTTCACACGCAGAAGTGGCTAATTCTGGACCTTATGTTGTAAACTGCAGCTGATGCCAAGAGCCAGTGCAAGGCTCTGCAGCATAAGTTCAAGCTCTTCAAAACAGCCCAGATTTAGCAGATTTCCACTTCCTCTCCCCCACCCCTACATATATTTTTTTTTTTTTAAGGAAAACAACAACAACAAAAAACTTCTTACCTGACAGTGAGGCTAATCCACTGAGACAAACGTTCTTGCAGTAGCGATCCGAACTCGCAGGGTTTCCTGAGGAGCGAGAGCTCTGTCTTTGTGTGTCTGGAGCAACCACTGCCGAGCTGCGCTCCACCGCTCCCTTTTATAGCGCAGCGCGGGGGAAGTGGGTGGACCTTGGCGTGCCTGGCTGGGCGATTTCTCTTTGACACTTACCCCCACCCCCACATCCCAGGCACTGCTTAATCGTTCTAGCATGGACTGGGGGCAACCCATCCTGGGGGAAAAATTGGAGGATTCATGGATTCATGTAAATTATCTTCAACATCCCCCCCCCCCCCCCCCCCATGGTACTTCATGAATTATAACGACGGCTTTTAGGTGTGGAATCCGAGTCCTGGCATCATTTACAAAAGCTGCTAAGCCCCTCGTTCTGTTTTGCTGGGGACAGTGTTTTTAACTGCCCGTATAGTGCAGAAGTAAGTTTGTACGGTCTGTGCCGTGATTTCTCCTTTCGGGCACATTAACCTCAGGTGGGGGGAAGCAGGAGCGTAGGAACCGGACCCGATCGGTTTCAAGATCCACGCAAATCCATCAAACAGCAAGGTTTCACAAATAAACCCATATTTGGACAACGTGAATTGTCATGAGTAACTATAATGAATGTCAGCCTTCTTTACATAAGCGAAGAGGTGACAAATCAGCCGTCATTAATATTTGTGACTCAACGTAGGTGCATTTTTCATCTAATAAAGTGTTCTTGAGGTACTTGATCCCTTCAAATCAATCGGTTCCAATGGGTTTGGAAGGCGAAGGTAGGGGCGCTCGGTGTGCCCTGGGCCGAGGAGAGCGGTGCCTGTGCCTCCAACACGGGGCACCTGAGGTGCTCCAGGGAAGCCGTGCGCGGCTCGCCGGGTGCCGCAGCCCGGTGTACGGGACTGCCCTTAGCTCAGCGCCCGAACGCCTGCAGGATCGGGGGCTCTAACAGCATTCTCCTGGCTGCCCAGAGGCAAACCCTGTTGTTTTTGCAGCCCGTATCATCTGCGCCCTGTGGCGCTTCGGCCCCGCGGAGCTCTCGGGGGCAGCGCCCCTCGCCCCGCGCCTGGCCGGAGCCGGAGCCGGCCCCGGGCAGCGTGTGCCGGGTGCTTCGCCCGCATCTGGCCGGGAGCGGTGTTTCAGAGAGAGGTGAGCTACGTGCCCGTGACTCTGCCTGGCTAGGTAGCCGCGCTCCCTGCTACACCCCGCAGAGGTATGTGCGAGGGGATGACTGACACTTTCCTACATTGCGGCTCACTCCGGGGCAGCCGCCGCCTCCCTCGCCAGCAGCGGCCGGGCCCCCGGGGGCTCCCGGCTCCGCTCCCCCCGCCACCGGGGCAAGCCGGTGGCAGCGGCTCGCCCTGCCCGCTGCCGCCCCGGAGGGGGCAGCGCACGGCCGGCGGCCACCCCGCACCCCCGCCCCGTTTCCCCGGCCGTGAGCTGGCCGCCGGGACAAGCCCGGATTCGCTCCTGCGCCGCACCTGCCCGGCCGGAGCACGGGGCGGGAGGCGGCTGCGGGAGCCGGGCAGCCCCGGGCTCTGCCTCGTCCCCTCGGCCCCGGCTCGAGTGGTCCCGCGGAGCCGCAGCCCTGCTGCCCTCCCCGCGGGCCGTGCTCGGCCTTCCGAGAGCTCCCGAGGCAGCTCAGGCTGGAGGGAGTCCGCACGTTCCCTTGGTCAGCAGAAGCTGAAACTGAATCTAACTTCTCTGAATGAGAAGGCAGGATTTGGTGTCCCGGGCATTGCTTTGATTTAATTTAGATCTCTTGTTCCAGTAAAAAATCCCACACTTCCCAAAATGCTGGAAAATCCCTCATTAGAATCCTTGGCCAAAAGGGAAGTGCATTTTGTATACTCTTAGGCAAACAATGCAGAAAGAATCCTACATTGGTTTAGGAGTAATAATAATATTAAGACAAGTCACATGTGAGTGCCATGCTGAATACAATGGCCATTTTAGTGACACAAAATTAGCTCATTCAGCTTTGCGTGCAGGCAAACTTTGGCACATAAATGATCAGGCAAGATGCAGTTTGTTGCTGACGTGATTTGTGAAAGGGCTTCAGCAGGTAAAGCTGGTTTCAAATCTAACACAAAACATCACATTCTCAGTCCAGATGCTTGTTTTGTTCTTCCTCAGCACTTTGCATTCCTAAGCAGCTTGAAAATGAGCAATAGGCACTGAATTTGTGCGATGAGGTAGTAACAAGTTCTGCTTCATAAAAATTACTTTGTAAATAGCTATTTACATCCCCCCTCCCCCCCCAAAAAAAAAAAAAAAAAAAAAGATACAGAGTGTTCATGTGGACTTTTTTTGGCAAAGTATTATTCTGAGGCAATGCCACACAGCTCTGCAAGACTGGACACTCCTCGAGAAGTGTAGGCTCTCCTGTGGGCACTACCTCATCCATCCCAGAGAAGTTGGCCTGGAGAAACATCCGGCTCTTGTACTTGTTTACTGATTATCTTGGGCATGTCATTCAACCTCTCAGTATTGCTGTGTGTACAGAAAATTTTACAACATCTATCTAGCAGGGAGATTGTGAGGAACTCCCTGCTGTTTTGTGCTCTTTTGCACAGTATTTTATTCAGGTGAAGTTTTATTCCAGAAGCAAAGGTCTTAACACCTGTAGGCATCGATGGCAAATAAGTTTGAGGCAAATATTTTGTGTTGATTATGCAAGAAAATTGTTATTTGAAGGCAGTGGGAGTGCTTTTGCATATTTCATTCCAGGTTGGTACAAACTTTACTGAGTTAATATACGATGAGTGTGAATATACTTACTTGATTGTACTTCAGGCTGTATAAAATCAGCACAAAGATGATACAAGCAGAAGAAAGACACCCTATGAAGCATGTAAAACCCTTGTCAAGCTCCACAGAGAAAAGCCTCACTGTTGGTGCATGTACTCAGACAGCTGTATTGTGCCAACGGTACAGTGACAAGGGACAATTCCATCTCCAGTGGTCCGACTGGATAGGGGATGGTTTCAGTGTGCCTCGTGTCTGGTAGGTTTGAGTATACCAAACAAAACCTCCTCGGGGAGGGAGATGCATATTGGTAGAGAAAAATTGCTTGGGGTCATGGCTGCTTTCCTCTTCTGGTAAGGGGTGTCACTAAACTGGTGGGTGACACTGGATTAAGGGACTGCAGGCTGAATGTGACCTACATATTTGCCGAAGGAGAAGTTAACTGTACAAGCTGCTGGGAACCTTCACATTTTTTTTGTGCTAAGCACATGGTCTGAGTGCGGTGACATTATCCCTTGTATGCTTTCTGTCTCCCGGGGTGGGGGGGGACACACTGCCCACAGTTCTTGCCCAGGTCCTGCTGGAGACCTAGGCCTTGGTGTTCACCCACAGCTGCTGCTCTAGGAACCCCTTCATGGCCCGGTAGCAGCCAAGCTACTCTGCTGGAACAGAGGGAATTTTATTTTTGGTGGTCTGGATGAAAGTTCAGTTTACTTTGCCTTAGACTTTAGGCGAGCAAACAACGTCTGCTCCACTTCCTCGTTTGTCCTATAAGAATATTAGATTACTCGCTACTAAAGGGAAGTTAAGGAAGTAAGTTACGGCTGACTGAATCCTTTTGGTCCATGCAGGTACGCAGCCAAACAGCTGTGTTGGAGCCCAGATGAATGGTGCCCTTCCTGTCACATGAGTACCTAAGACGTGCCACTTCTTATGACCTGCTTTATAGACTAACCAGGCTTTGGTTGTATTGGTCTAGATGGAAGAAGGAACAAGGCTGTATGTAACGTGGGCGCTAGTACTATTGGGGACTCAATAAGTCATATTTTCCTCTTGATCTAGCATTTGTTAATACCCTGGGAAAAGTGTTAGGTGGTATTCTCCTGCCAGAGGTGCTGGCTTAAAAGAGAAGTGAGACTTAAGTACTGAGATTTGTCATTGCATATCGAACTGTTTTATGAGTGCAGATATGATAACGCTAAGGTTCTGTTTGAGCTCCAAATTAGGTAATTTCTTAGTGTCTCTAAGCTTTCTCTCCAGGTTTAGCTACACACATTATCCTGTGCTTTCATAAACTGTTGCATGTCCTGGCTTTGTGCTGTTGAACAGCTGCAGTGTCCACCCCTAGGAGTTATGGCGCTGAGCCTTATCCTTGTCCACTTCACCAGCAATATGTGGCTTCGTTAGGCTTTGCATTCCTTTTTTGCTACTTCAGAAATGCTTTAATCAGTGTTTTGAAAGCAGCTTTGTGGGTTTCGGTCATTAAAGCCTACAGGATCATGGTCCAAAAAGCCTATGCATGATTTAAGAAAGGTACTCCTTCTAGCTCCTGCTTAATATAGGAAGTGACTGACCCCACGGTGTGCGTCTCTCGAAAAGTATTCCAATTTTTTCGATGTATACGTATGTTATTTCCAAAGTTAACAAGCAGTTTATTAAACCTTAGGTCTTCCTACGTGGTGCTTGACTTCAAAACAGTTAAGCCATGAAGCTGATTGCTCGAAGGAGATTTTGACTGCAGCCCTTCCGTGAGAAGGGACGAGCAAGAGCATTGCAATTGATTCTCCGAGCCCCCGGGCCGCCGGCCGCACACGCCCGTTACGAGCAAGCAGCGCCACCTCTCCCCTCAGACCCCCGCACTGACGGGGCGGCCGTTGGGGCCGTTAGCGCCCGGCCGTTGGGGCCGTTGGGGCCGTTAGCGCCCGGCCGCAGCCTCTCGGAGGCCCCCCCCCGCCTCAGGGCGCCCCCCTCCCGGCCGGCCGGGCCCGGGGCCGCCGCGTGCCGCCGGCGCTGCCGCAGCCCACGCCCAGCCCGGCGGGGTCACGGCGCAGCGGGCTCGGCGGCGCGCAGGCGCACAGCGCGCCCGCGCCTCCAACATGGCCGAGGCGGTGCCGCCGGCCCCGCGGCGGGGAGGATGCTGAGCCCCCGCCAGCCGCCGCCAGCCGCCGCCGCACGGGTGGCGAGGCCCGGGCCGGGCCGCCCGCAGCCATGGCCAGGCTGGCCGACTACTTCATCGTGGTGGGCTATGACCACGAGAAGACAGGTAGGTGTGGCTGCCGCGGGGCCGCTCCGCCGCCCCGGCCTCTTCCCCCCTCCCCTCGTCCTGCCCGGCCCCGGCCCCGGCCCCCGCCCGCCTCCGGCCGGGCCGCGGGAGGAGGAGAC